TGTGACAGTTTCCCTTTAAGTCACAACAGGAATTAAGGATGCTGCCATATGAACCCTTCTTGGGTGATGTGGAGAGCCTGAATATCTTTAATCTGCAGTTGGTTGAATCTGTGGATGTGGAATCTACGGGGATGGAAGGTCAACAGTAATAGGAAGATTGAATTGGAAACTGGAAACTGGGTAGAAACTTTGATTTCTTAAAATGTTGAAAATTAAAAGTCTGAAAGTTGTTTAGCTAATTTTCAAGCACCTTCCACTTACTGTGAACAGCTTTCATACCTGCCTGGTCCAGAGTGTTGTTTAATAAATGATTGTGAAAGAATGAAGGAAACCAAATCATACATGCAAACATGAATTAGAATGCTTAGAGAATGGTGTGTGCTCAGAAATAGAAATTTATGGAAGTCATTTGTTCATTCAACAAAATATTTTGAACTCCTACTGTGTGCAAGGCACAGTGTATCAGGTTCATCTGAAATCCTTTTTATTACAACTGTTAATAGTGAAACTCTTTCTAAAATGTTGGTGTCTGCTTTGTACATCAGGTGAGTGTCTAGTATTCAATGTTGAAGAGTATTGAGTATGAAGGATCCTTCTGACATTGTGGTTATTATGCTGAATATTGTTTAACACCATAGCAATTAATAAAGTCCCTCTAGTGCTTAAAAGGTCTCACTTGGGTGTAAGACTGCCTGGGTTAAAATCCAGGCTTTATCATTCATTAAATATGTGATAATGGGTCAAATTTAAGCAACTTCTATGAGTCAGTTTCCCCATCTATAATAGACAAATAATAGTACTATGTAACAGTTATTGAATAATGAATAATCAAAGTGCTTGGTGTATAGAAATTCCTCAAGGTACATGATAACTGTTAATGTTATCACATAGGACTTGACCTGGAAATAGAAAAGAGAGAAATTTGGACTAAATATATAGATAGAGCACTTCAAGGTATGCCCTAGAATTTAGAGGTTCTGTTTTAATGTTATTTGTAATGTGCATAGAGTAAAAAGCATAGCCCTTTTATTTATAGTTTAACTTTTTTGATAGTATCCTTGCCTAAAAGTGGAAAGAGCAATATCTAACTGGCAGGAGCTCTTGTAATCTGAGTACGTTAGTGCCTGAGATGTAATGGCTCTCAGTATGTATTACTTTCTTTCCATCAGAGTCAAATATGAGGAAGTAATTCCTTTTAATTTACAGTGTTGATGAGTTGGGTTCTGGTTAGTTGAACTGTAATATGTAAATGAATTTAATCGTGGACTACCTCTGCCAGATAAACATTTCACACCTGGTACAGACACCTTTGTTTGTCTGATTTTGAAAAATGCTTTCCCCTTCTGAGCCCCTTTAACATTGTGGATCCCTCAACTCGGCCTGTAATCAACTTGCATTTTCACTTGAAAGGATTTTTCAGATGATTTAGAAGATTTTAATTGTTGGACTTAATAGGATTGATTTAAATTAATCCGAGTCAGTTGCAGACAATGGAACAATGGGCTGGTACCTCATCATTCCTTGTTTATTTTTTAAATAAAAGGAGAAAAATGGGAAGTGTTCCAAATTGAGTCACAGGCACTGATGAGGATTAAATGAGTAAACATTGTAGGTTTTAGAGAGAAAGAAACTTGAAGGGAATCAGAGAATCTTTAGCAGTCACCGTTTTAGCATTTATTGTCCTGTGTGGGATAGTTTCCTAGCATGGGATGCAGCAGCCTGTCAAGAAATAGAGGAGACCTGGTGAGGGACTGCTTTCAGGTTCATAGATGGTGCCTTGAAGTCATATTCTCACATGGTGGAAGGGGCTAATTGGGTTTCTGGAGTATCTTTTCTAAGGGTACTAATCCCAATGATTAGGGCTATGCCCTTATGACCTAATCACTTCCCAAAGGCCCTACCTTGTAATACCTTCATCTTGGAGGTTAAGATTTCAACATAGGAATTTTGGTAGGATATAAACATTTACACCATGGCAGATTCAAGCTCTTTGTGGATTCATGTTATTTTCCAGAATTATACTGATGTGTGTGTGTGTGTGTGTGTGTGTGTGTTGCTGGGGCGCTCTATCACTGACCTACAACCCAAGCTCCTTTTTAATTTTATTTTGAGACAAATTCTCATTAAGTTGCCAAGGCTGAACTCAAACTTGTAATCCTCCTGTCTTAGCTTCCCAAGTGGCTGGGATTACAGGTGCATGCTACCACAACTAGCCTGGAGGTATCTTTATTTTGATAATCACTGTAACCTTAAAAAAGGGTTCTCAACTTTGAGCACTACTATAGATGATTCTTTGTTGTGGATGCTGTCCTCAGTTTTGTAGGATATTTAGCAACATCTCTGGCCCCTGTACACTAGATGCTAGTAGCACCTCATCTGTAGTGCCCATGTTTCTAGACCTTACCAAATGTTCCCTGGGGGGAAAATTGCCCCAGTTGAGGACCATTGCTTTTAAAGAATTCATTTCAACGACTTTATTAATCCATGAGGCACTAACATCTCTCTTAGGCTGTGCTCTCAGAAAAGTCATTCATCTGGCTACTTGTGGATCTCTCTGGCACTAAGAGGCTTGGGTGCATTGGCAGCCAGGTGGAAGATGGCTTTAAAGTGGGCTGGGCAAATCCTTATGATGCCAGGCTGCAATGCTGCATTTCTGTTAGGGCATACTGGATTGTGTCCCAAAGTAATTTGGATTTTGGTTTTAGGGTTCCTTGCCCCTCCTTAATAAGTATTATCTGGGAACAATGAAATTCAATTATTTTGGGAGTCTTTATTTAATGTCTGATGATGCCAGAAGAAAGTCACAGACAATTAGTTTGATTATTAAAACAAAGCCTGCTTTTTCTTAAAAGAATACCCTGGAATCATTATTTTAACATAGCCACAAAAGGAGCTAGGAAGCCCACAATAAGGGAGATAAATTGCCAAGTGACAGTTTAAGAAAACAAAAGTTTTTCAAGATAAAATCATCCACATTCCTCCCTAGTTACTGACTTAATGTTATTAACAAGTCAGATCTCATATCTATGCCATTATTGGCATGCATACAATTTAAATATTTTAGTTTTCATTATACAATTGGATCTACATTACTGACCTTCAAGGGCCCCATTCACAGGGGTAGAGGAGAAGGAACAATCACCTACTTCATGAGAGGGTGGCTAGCCAACTGGCTTTCCCTGCATTGTCAAACTACCACATAGGGAAGGCTTTGGAGCTACTCTGATCAGAGCAGGCTAGGGATAGAATGGGGGTGGGGAGAGCCTTTTGGTGCAGGGAGAGAGCCAAAGCTTTTTTTTCCCCCTTTTGAAAAAGAGCTATCCCACCTTTGTTCCAAGGGAGAATGAAATATCCATTAAGACTGGTGACACTGGGAATTTTGTTTCGGCTCAGTTCCTTTTGTTGTGACTCCACGGCAAAGGAGAGGAATTTGGGGTAAGAAGGTTTTCAAGCCAAGATGAGAAAGAAAAGGAATTCCTTCCAAGGATTTCTTTTATTGTCTCTCAGAGAATAAATATTTATAGCGAAGGTTCAAGTGAAGTCTGTCACAGTGGTCATGGCTTTAAGACTAAGCCTTTGAGAGAGTACATCTAAAACTATGCTTAAATGAAGGGTGATCCAATTAGGCTTCCTAGGGAAAACCAAGAAACCTCAAGATAATTTCCTATCTCAAATCTAATTGTGTTCTCAAGTGGAATAGGAATACCAGTCTGAATTATCCCAGTTCCATAGACTGCAGCAAAAATGTACAGCCAAATTAGATTCTATTTTAAGTAATTAAGTTATTTCCCTTCACAGGATCTATAATTTGTCTTGAACAAATGTGATTTGCTTTAGAAAGATAAGGCATTGCAATTTTTCCTCCAAAATGGATTTTCTTTGCCAGAAACAATTACCACAAGTCGACCAAGTATTGCCTTAATTATATCCCACTCATTTTCTGAGTGCATGCCTGGAGCATTCTGTTCCAAAGTGAGGTAGGTATGGCCACTACAGTCTGGAAATTATCTTAAACTGGAGACCGGAGGTGAAATTTACTCAAGAGCCTGTGGCTTGCACAATGGTAGTGTAAATAGCTACAGTGATATTACATAAGACTCCAAAATCTTGTGCAAAATATGGGCAATGAGGAGCTTGCTTCAGTAGACCTTTCTTTTGTGCTTTAAAAAGCACTAATATTAACTTTTAGCTGCTTGGCTGAGCCTTTCAAAGGAGGTATGAGATGTTGCAATAGATGAAGAATAAAAAAGTGTTAGAATTTGCATAGGAGATATTGCAAGAAGGGTATTTTGGGTATGGTTAATTTTATGAAGAAAACATTCACTTTTGGCCTTATTTTCAATAACAATTCGGTTGAAATATGACCAGGTGTTCTGGGGGACAATAGTGGGTAATGGTTAAGAGCAAAAGCTGGAACAGTTAAGTAGGATCAGCTCTTGGCTCTACCTGTTAAAAATTCGAGTTCTGGAAAGTCTCTGAACCTCATTTCCCTCCTCTGTAAAAAGGGAGTGATGGCATCTATACAGAAAGGGTTAGATGAGAAGAGCATGCTCCTGACCTGGATTACACAAGGGGAAAGCAACAGTAAAATCCAAACACTACTGCATGCTATTCCTTCTTCACATGCACATATCCTTCTGAAAGATGATCTTTAATAATGGGCACTGGATGAACATTTCCAGACTTCCATCAGAGTTGAAATCGTGGTTAGAGCTTTGGATGACTTACCGTGAGTTAAGAGACATGTTTCCTGGTATGAAATATTGGCTCTGCTAATGATCACATGCCTTGGACCAAGTTACTTAGGCTTTCTGTGCCTCAGTTTCCTCCTCTATAAAATGTTAAGTAATAACAGAAGCAGAAACTATTATAGATAAGTGTAAGTAAAATATTACCAGAAAAATACCTTTGCTTGTATTTGGTATGCCATAAACATGTCTATTATTTTTGTCTTCTGCCAACCAAGGGGATGTTAACAGAAACCAGAACAAAACATCAAGGAAGTTTATCATGTACTTTTATTAACAACTTAATACAAGACTGTACATTGTAGGTGCTGAAATCAACCCATTCCTGAAAACTGAAAAACCAGTATTTTTATACCACTTAAGACTTTGGTTATAAGTGCTGTCTTCTAGAGCAAAATCACACAGTGTAACCAAACAACTTAAGAAAAGGGGAGAAATAAAAAGATGTTCCACTGGAATGGAAAGATTATTTATGCACAAACAGCTGAGGATAATTTCTAGCTTTACGTGATTCACTACACACTCTAGAATGTTCAGTTCCCTTTTCTAAAGTCCTACAACCAGACATACAGCAACTAAGAACTTGGCCACAGGTCCTGCCTAGACACTCATTAACATGAAACAAACAAAAAAATATTTATATAAATAAGTCAATTAAACCTCACAAAAACTAAAAAACACAAGACAAAAATCCAACAGTCATTAAAAACTGTACAGTATTGGTCAGTCTTTTATATCTGAAAAACGTGTAACTTAAAAAAAAGTTCTTTTTCATATTAAAAAAAAAGTCTTTTACATCAACGTTAGCTGGAGTGAAAACTTGAAGACTCAGACTCAGTTGAAACAGAAGAATGTCCACCTCGTTTGCCTTTGGAGAGAATCTTGAGGCTGGACCCTCTGCTCACAGAGGTGAGTGCATGCTGGGCTGAGGTTTTAAATTTGGCTCCAAGGAAGGCATAGAGGATGGGATTCAGGCAACAGTGGAAAAATGCAAGGGCCTCGGTGATGGAAATCCACTTGTGCACAGTGTTCTCAAATTCACATCCTTGTTTGATGATTTCTAGAAGAATGAAAGAGTCGATACTGATCCCAATGTAGTAGGGCAGCCAGCAGGCAAAGAAAGCCAGGATGAGGATGACGGTGGTCTTGAGTGCCTTGCGCTTCTGGTGGCCCTTGGAGTGTGACAGCTTAGAGATGATAATGCAATAGCAGGACAGGATGACAATACCAGGCAGGATAAGGCCAACCATGATGTGCTGAAACTGGAATACAACTACCCACAAGTCATTGGGGTAAAAGCGGTCACAGATATATTTCCCTTCTGCCTCACTGATATTGGCAAAGATGAAATCAGGAATAGTTAGCAGGAGAGCAGGGATCCAGACGCCAACATACACCGCCTTTTCAGCCAACAGCTTTCTTGGCCTCTGACTATTGGTGGCATGAACAATGGCCAGGTATCGGTCCAGACTGATAAAGGCCAGGATGAGGACACTACTATACAGGTTGACAGTATAGATGACATGAACTGCTTTGCATAGAAATTTCCCAAAGTACCAATTTGCCACAGCATCAACAGCCCAGAATGGAAGCGTGATGACAAAAAGGAGGTCGGCCACTGACAGATGCAGCCTGTACTTGTCCGTCATGCTTCTCAATTTCTTCTGGTAACCCATGACCAGGATCACCAATCCGTTGCCCACAATGCCAGTCAAAAAGATGATGGAGTAGATGGTGGGCAGGAAGATACGGTTGAAATGGGCACTTTCCTCCCGGAAGCAGGGTTCCTTTATAGAGTCATAGTCCCCTGAGCCCAATTCCTCTGAGTAGTTATCTGAGGTGTATATCTGCAAAAGAGGCAAGGGTACACATTCACTTCCAAGGTCAGCAGACACTACCCAAGTTTTAAAAAAATGTTTCTGGGTATTAAAAGCAAACAATTTATTGTGTGTGCGCATATATTTATTTATTTAAACCCAATTCAGGTCAGCCTTCTTCAGGAAATTCTAAAGTACTGGGGAAAGACCCAAGAGAATTATTATAGAATCCTACAGCCATACTCCCCATCTTCCCCCATAGTTACTTCATTATATCCCTCTTTAGTGGAACCAATTACAAGATTCTTTGTTTAGAACAAAAGGGCGCTGAGACTCTGAGGGTTTCAAAGTCACATCTTGGCTAACTCTTCTGCCTCGCCCACTAGAGGAAAGGAAAAAAAAAAAAAAAAAAAAAAAAAAAAAAAAAGGGGAGGAGAAAAAAAAAAAAAAAAAAACACACCAAACATACACACAAAGAGGCCACTCCCAGGCGGCATGGGGTGGGGGCAATGTGGGTGTAGAATCTAGGGTTGCAGGAGGAGCTGGGATTAACTTTTTGTATGAAGATCAGCCAAGAGAGGCCAGAGGAAAGGAAGGAACAGACGGGGGAGGGAGGGGGCTTCACAATCCTGAAGTCTTTTATTCTTTTAAAACGCAAAATATTGTTTTTCCCACGCCGGTCTAAATACAAACCATTCTGCGCTTCAAGCAACACGTAGTGGGGAAGGAGACTGCGGCATTAAAGCGAGGCCTTTTAGGGCTTGAAGTATTGAGAGAAATTGTCAGAAACGAGCAAATGGCACCCCCTTAGTCCAAACCGACGCTCCTTGGGGGCGTGGGCCTCTTTTGCCATCCTCGTGTTTATTACTTGGCGCGTTTGAGACGTTAGGGAGCGCGGCATTTTCCTGGGTGGGGAAAGTCACGGGGTCTGCACTCGTGGTCCGCGCCCCAAGTTTCATTTCCTCACTCTCCCAGGTCGCCTTCCACCCTGCCACCGATCCAGTTGAAGGGGTCGGAAGGGGGCAGTTGGAAGCCTCCAGGCATTGGGCTTACGGGGGGGTGGGATCACCCCGCCCCACCACAGCCGAGCCGCTGCCCACCACACCCACATCTACAACAGGCTGGTAGCGGCTCCGGGGGTTCCGCCCGATTGTGAGGCCAGGCTTACCCCTCAGGGTGCTAAAGAGAGATTGGGCGGCTCCGTGGTGAGCTCCTTTGAATTGCGCGCCGCGGGAGGAAATGAAAAGCCTCCCTGGCAAGGAGGTTTCAAAAGGCTTCAGGAAACCACCGACGGTTAAGCGACGCAATAGGTTCGAAGACAGCCAAACGGTCTCCCCGCTTGCACCTGTTCTTCGCCCGGGAGACTAGGCAGCCCAGGTGCTGTCCCAATACCCCTGCTACTTCAGTGCCTGCTGCACACACCTCGGGGCCAGAAGTTCAATGTGCCTGCCTCCTTCGACCTCTGCACAATCCCAAACTTCGAGGCCCCACTAGGGGCAAGCGAAGCGCTTCGGGCACCGCACCTTTTTTCTCAATCCCAAGGAGTGCGGATTGCTCCCAACCACCTCCCGGCTGCTGCCACAGCTTTGACCCCTCAACCAAGCAGCGCAATGCGCCTGCCAGACTTTCCCGCCGTCTGCCCACTGTGCCCGAGTCTGGCACACCTCTGCTGGCCGCACGGAGTTAAGCTAACGTGCGCCCAAAGGCAAGAAACAGTCTCCAAGAGCTTGTGCTCGACTTTAACCTAGGACGCAGAATACTTCTGGAAAATCAGCCCAGGAGCGCTGACCCCCGCCTCTAGGTTCAGATAATGTAACTCGCTCCAAGACACCCACTTTCCTGGGAGGAAGAGACCAAGGTTCTGAATACTGGGGCAAAGCGCGCGCCTTCCCTGCACTTGGGCAAAATGTTATGTTTGCAAACAGCGTGCGCCGCAGGACTCAAGGGGGAGACACATGCAGCCGCATGAACCCTCATTTCAATTTTTTCCCCTCAACTTTCAGGGGGGAAAAAAAAGAATTCCAATCTTAACCCACCACATAGCCATAGTCCTGAAAATTTCTTTCCATGTCCCTTCTTTGGGGCATGGTCATATCCAATGTTCTGGTCCCTTTTGCCCGCTCCGAGAGCGGCTGAGCTCTAAGTTCAAGCGTCTGTACGTTTAGCACAAAGGTTGGAACTGGACTTACACTGATCCCTTCCATGGTAGCCGCTCCTTCTCCAGTCGCGGAAGCCACGGGAGAATTCAGGTCCTCAGGGTCACTTTGCTACCTGCTGCAACAGCCAACAGATTGAAGTTTCTGGCCGAAGCCGGACTTTTATAAAAACACGCTCGCAAAACAGCGCATGCGCAGTTAAGAGGGCGGGGGGGCGTGTTTGGGGAGAAGGACTGGCAACCAAGAGGAGGACGGAGGGGCGGGGCCTAGGGGTGAGCTGCTTGGGGAGCTCCAGAGCCTTAGTGGATCACCGATGGTCACTTTTGAAAGTCCAGAGTAGGTTAGAACGTCCCCGAATTTGGGGGAAAGCCTTATGCGTCTGGAGGGAGGCGGGAAGCGCGACCGTGAGACGCATCTCTGCGTGGTGAGTGCGACAATTCTCACTCACGTGGATGGAATCCAGACCTGGAAATGCTACAGATGGAGACACTGAGGTCCAGAGAGGGGAAGTGACTTACGATAGTAACCCAGCCAGTAGGCGGCAATGTTGAAAATGGGGCCGAGCGTCTGACTCCATTCCCCGCTCTTTCAGCAGATGCTGTCCATTCGGCAGATTTTTGTAAAGGTGCTTCGGAGCAAAACTGTGTGCAACTTTATGTGAATAATCATAGTAATTACATCAGGGTCAGGCGTAAGTAATCAGGAAACACCTTTCAGAAGAAGATAGGATTTGATACAATTCTTGAGACTAACAGAGAAGTAGAAGTGTGTTCCTGGGAGGAAATGCACAATAGTGACAACCAATTCATGAATAATATTTTTGTGTGTGCGATTATTAAAAGTGTTTGGCGATTGGGACTTTCTGTAACATCACAAGGAATTTAGAATCACTTGCTCATTCTCTTAAAATGTGTGGATGGTAACATCACAGAGATGCATTTAGTCAACAGATTATGCACAAAGGGCCGACTGTGTGCCACGTGCCGGGGAGGGGGAGCATCCTTGGAAACTGGAGACCGGCCGCAGAGACTAAGTGCCTTGGGATTCAAAGCCTGGACTGAACCAGGTTTCCGCGCCGCATCCGTTGTCTTCCACGGTTGTGTGCGGAGAACAGCTTTAGCACAAACGAGAAATTAGGTTGAGGGGCGGGGCGGGGATTGGACGGTTAAAGCAGCCCCAGACGGGCTGGGGTTTGCAGTAGGCGTCCAGACATAAATTTCCAGCCCCTCGCCACTTCCCGCCTGCGTCTCGCCTGGGTGCGGCGGGGAGCGAGGGAGGGGCGGGGCTGAGAATCAGTGCGACTGCCCACGGAGGGACCGCAGGAGTCCTAGCTGGTTCCCAGGTAGGAGCTTCGGGTCCTGAGACCTGTGGTTGCGCGACGGCACGGACCCCAGATTGCACTCTCCTATCTTGGGACAGCCCTAAGGAGAGGATTTGTCCAGAGTGGACCCTGAGCAGTACCCCACCTTTACTTTATCAAAGGAAAAGCTTTCGGTTTAGAGGTGTTTCGGGAGACTGAGACCCTTTTCCCTACTGAGCATGATTTTCTTCTTTTGTAAGGGCCGGCTCCCTAATGTTTGCCTTTGAAGGTTTCCCTGTACACTGCATTTTAGCAGATACAGGAAAGCTGATATTGGGGGTCAGGTGGAACCCACAAAACCCTCCAAATGACATACAAAAACTCAAAAGCACTTTTATTAAAACGTCTAAACACAACTTCAGGATTTTCTTATTTTCATAAGCTAGTTAGGACAGGCAGAAGATCCGTTGAAGGACTGGAATTTCAGACGGGCTACAGGACTTGCATTTTGGGAAGCTTTGTAGTGACGGGATCAGTATGTTTTATCCTGGAATGACAGCTGTGTTGTAACTCCAAAATCCATTCTTCACAATGGCAAAAATCTGAAAGGTGGAATCTCTCAAACTTGCCCCCAAAGGAAGAGAGGATATATCCCTAGTAGAATGATTTGAATAATAAATATTTGTTGATTGTTTGCAGACAAAAGAAGTCTGCGTTTATCTGAACGCTCCTTTTAAGGATCATTTTAAGATAAGAGGAAACAAAAGAACAATGAAATGCTATTTAGTGACTATAAATTAGCCCAAATTTTTTTCTTTCAAAGATAATATTTGGCTTTGGGCTTTGAAAAGAGCAGCTGTCTCTATCTCTAACTACTGGTAGAAGTGTGGGTTGGGACAGCCTCAGTGAAAAGTATTTTATATTCAGCAGGAACCTTAGGACAGTAATTTCACCTATAGAAATTTATCCTAAGGAAGAAAGACTTATGCCACATTAATAATAGTTAATAATTAACTTATGACCATTAATAATAGTGAAATATCTGAACAATACCATAAGTCCATTGTTGGTGGATAGTTGAGATTTTGGTACATCTATATATGAAATTCCCTGTGGACATTGCAGATAATGTTGTGAAGAATTTTTAGTAACATGGGAAAATATGAAACAATAAGTGCCAAAAACAGGATTCAAAACTGTGTATATAGTGTAATCTCAATTTTGTTAAAATACACATTTAGGAAAAGCTAGGATGAAAAATGAAATATTTATAGGAAGCTTCATTGGCTAGATAATTATATTTGATTTTTACTTTCTTCCTTGCATTTTAACACTTTCCATTTTTTTCTAAAATAGTAATGAAGCATTTTCATATTCAGAAAAATGTCAATAAATTTTAACAAAAAAGAAAAAAAAAGAATCAGAATGCCTCCTTTCTCATACCTTTCTACTTCCTAAAGTATTCACTAGATGTGATAAATTTTTCCATGATAGTCGTCCTTGTTTTCTCCCCGCTAATCTTACCTAAACCGCTGTTTTCAGAACCCTATGATATACTTTAAAAAACAAACAAAACTCAAACATTGATTGCTTGTTAAATGCAACCAACCCCAGATAATCTCCTCAACAATTCTGTAAGGCAGGTGCCATTACTTCTCTTCCTTAGGTAAAGAAAATAAGGTCTGGAGAGGATGAGCAACTTGCCTGTGACCACACAGTGAGGATCTGCACTCAGTCTGTCTGGCTCCAGAGCTCCGGCTTGTTCCACTCCATTACAATGTCTCCCTTTTTCTGGCCATTGCAATTTACCCTCTGAAAGCTGCATCCTCTGGAAGGTCATTTGACATTTACTTACCTAGTGCTTGAGTGGCATCTCTTATGAAGTAATCCAACTTTTAAATGCATGTAGGTCTTTATTCCTCTCCCCTAAATATTCTTTCCTATGTGGCTCTGAGAACAGATCCAGGATTAGGGGCTGTCAGGGCTTTGGCAGTGTCCCCAAGTTCTCAAGTTGGCTTTAGCCCAGGGAATTACTAGCCTTGGCCATGGTTTGGAGGAGATGCTTGCAAATCAAGTGACATGGTGGCAAGCATCCTGCCACCTCCTGTTGCTCTCTCTGTAGCTGGTTGATTCATGTGTAAGTCTATGTGTACTTATGTGTTTGACAGAAAGCTGTACTCTGTTCCAAAATAGGCTTCAGGTCAGAGACAGAAGACAGCTTAGGGACAGTCCTCTTCCTGAAGGTGGATGGCAGGAGACAGGGATCCTAGAGGCCTGAAGAATATATAGCATCCTCCTGTCCTCTCACAGACCCTTCCAATCTCTTTAAAATGTTTGATAGCTTTTGTTTCTGAAAGAGAAAAAATAGTACAAACTTCCTTGATGGTTGTAGGGAATACTCAAAGGGATAAAGTTAATGTTTTCCCAAGTAATTAAAAAAAAAGAAAGAAAAGAAAAAGAGAAAGCAAGCCTGTTTTTCCCCAAGGGTCATGTAATTCTAGCAATAGGTTACAAATCTCAAAGAGACAATGCTATCAAATGTCAACTATTTGCAAGGTGGTGTTAAGTGAAATGGTCTCCTGCCTGACCACACCCAGCCCACTCCTCCTTCTCTAATGCCTTCTGTCTCCAACACTTACAGGTGGAAAATGACTTTGGAAAAGAAACTTAAGCCTTAGAACTTAAGCAGCTCTATACCAATTTAGGAAAATTATTACTGGTTTTCTTGGAATTATTTAAATCACATCTTAAATTTCTAAAAGGTTTGCTTTCAGTAAAATGAGACTATTTGTGATTTCTTTCAAAGTTTTATAGCAGTCAGGAACAGTCAACATAATTTCCTACCCAAAGAAAAAAAGCTAGGCTGGTAAACAAATATAGCCAATTTAGAGTCACTCTGGTAAGTCATTTTAACAAAGCAGCCACTTAATTAGCAATGCAATGATCATTACTTCACTAATTCCACTGCCAGGAGGAAGAATTGTTCTCCAAACTTTGCTGTGCTCATGTGGCAGGTGCTGTGTGACTTTGTGGGTGTGAAGAACAGCACCAAACAGACTCAGTGCTATTGCTTCAAAAATTATGGTGTCAAGCTGGGAAAGAGGGCATGACTTTAGGAAATAATTGAGTGAACAAACCCTGTTCTCCATGGAAAAGGCTTGTCATTGTTTTCCTTAAGCCAGTAATTTATTGGTGGTGACCTCAGGCAGCTATATAACAAGAGGAAGCGTTTAGAGCCCTGTGGATAGAAGGTTTTCTAAAGAGAACTATGCATCCCATGGCAGAGCCCCAGTTCTTCTAGAAATGTGGTGGTCTGATTGATCATGTAGATGGGTTTTGAGTCTACCAAGAGCATTACATTGGCAGAAGGACAAGGTGGGAATTATTTGTGTGTATGTGTCTGTGCGTGTAGGGGAATCCATGCAATACTTTGCTTGACCTATTCTCCTCCTCCTCCTTTTCCTGTTCCTCTTCCTCCTCTTCTTGCTCCTCCACCTTCTTCTTCTTTCCTTTGGTACTGGGGATTGAATCTGGGCTACATTCCCAGCCCTTTTTAATTTTTATTTTGAGATGGTGTCTCTAAGTTGCTTAGGGTCTCACTAAGTTGCTGAGGCTGGCCTTGAACTTGCAATCATCAGCCTCCCCAGCCTGGGATTATAGGCATGTGCCTCCATGCCTGGCTGTTTTGACAGTTTTCTGAATCTAAAGCTATGGAGCTCTTGTAAGTCTAAGACACAAGTGACAAAGTTTGGAAACCTGCAGATATTGTAAATGAGTGAGACAATAGAAAGTGGTGGAGACTGTAGCTAACTGGAAGGTGTATGTATGCCTTGCCTAAAAGT